GCCTTGTAGGAAGAACTGGAAGGAGCTAGACAGAAGGGATGGAAGCCCCAGGGTGGAGTCTATGGGGTGAGCTCAGGTCAAGCCGCTCACCCTAATGTGCCTCAGTGCTCTCCCAGCTGTTAAACAGGACTCCGGATTCTTCCCAGGCAGTTAATGAGTGTTTACCAAAGGGCTTGGAGATCCTCAGATCTCAGCTGGGCCACCACTACAGTTAGAACCCTCGTAAGAGCCGAGTGTTATTTGGGGAGGGGAGGAACAGGGCAAGAGGGGAGCCGAGGACTCCAACTAGCTGAGGATGAAACCCAGCTCCCGGAGAAGCCCAGGCCCAGCTGCCACAGGATATCCTTGTACCCAGGAATGGAGGTCACCCTCCCCCTCCACCTAACCACCACCGAAGCCTGGCCTCCAGCTAGCTGTAGGCAGAACCCAGCCGGGCAGCTGGCCTTCATTAACTCCAGCTTTTTCGCCCCCCACTGTGAACCCACAGCTTCAACAGGCCTAGGCTACAGGGGGCTGCCCTAGCCTGACCTTGCAGCTGACACTGGGGTGGGGGGCACCACAGCAAAGGCCAAGCTAACCAGCTGAAAAGAAAGTCGAGCGAGACTCCCTTTTTTCCCACTGGGAGCAAGCAGAGAGGAAAGGGAGTGTGGGGGTGAGAGGGTGGAGGTGGGGGAATTTAGGGCAAACAGCAAGCCGTGAAGTCAGCTGGATTGGGGCCCAGAAACCCCCACACCCTGAAGCCAAGTCTTACTCTAGCTTTGCTTCTCAGCTAGAGTCTTGGCGAGGCCCCAAACTAGGGAAGGCCCTGGCTGCCCCTTTCCGCCTCCCTGCCCCCACCCTTATTAAATACACATTTTATCTCTCAGCATCTTCATTATCTTAACTGAAGGAGACAGGCAGTGGATGGCGGCAGAGAGAGAGAGCGTCGGGGAGGGGGGTGTGGGGAGCAGGCGCACCCTTGTTACAAAGTGCTGATGTAGCTCTTTCAGGCAGTGTGGGAAACAGAGGAGGGATCAAAGCGAAGGAGGCTGATTCAGAACTCAATTAGAAATTAAAAAAAAAAAAAAAGGAACCAACACGGGAGCCGGCTCTCCTTCTGCCAGCCTTCAGCCTTTACCAGGCTCCTTGCACCCAATTAGCTTCTACCGGCATCCGGACTGGTGAAGTTGGAATAAGGGAGCGAGGGCACACTCCCGCCCTGTGCTCGTTCCTCGTGAAGGGGACATCAGGAGGAAGCGGAGCTAACTTCCCCCACAAAGCTAGAAGAGGACACCAAAGGTGGGTTCTTCCCCAGTCCCTAACCAACCAGAGGCAGTTTTCTGGTCGACCTCTGGGGACCCTAGGTAACTTCTGGACTGAACCACCTCTTTCTAGCCTGTAGGCAAGTCTCCAACCCTAGCCTCCCTGAAGCCACAGACTGCCTGCAACCAATTACTGGGACGTCTACCTGAAGGGCTGAGGTCTGATCAACGACGCCCTAGGCCAGGCAATGAGGCCTTCCGCAGGGGCCCAAGCCCCACCTGAGGCCTCAGCACCAGCTTCACCTCCAGCTGAGAGCTGTTCAAGATTGGGCGAAAAGGCAGTATCTTCTTGTATTGTTCACTGACTAGGAGTTAATGAATAGCTACCAGCTTTAAGGCTGGAAACTGATACAAATGTAAATAAAATCTCGCTCTGGGTTCAGTCTCTTACACCACAAACAACAACAAAAAGTCTCTTTGGCTCCCCCACCAACCTCTCCCACAGTCAAGATATTTTTGTGCGAGTGTAGGCTAAAGGTCAATTGTAGGTGTCTTTCCTGGAGCTGCCAGATTTGTTTTTTCACTACGGTGGCTGGCTCTTACCTGAACTCACCAAGTAGGTTAAACTGGCCCGCCAGTCAGCCCCAGCCTGACTCAGCCTCTGCAGGGCTGGAATAGCAGTGTATGGATGTGTGTTGGGGTGTCCTGGAGATAGATCTTGGGGCCTCATGCTTGCACAGTAAGCACGTTGCTCACTGAGCTACCCTCCCCCTCCCCGGCTGTAGCCTTTTTTTTTTTTTTACAAAAATGGTTCATTTGTCCTTATTGTCTTTCTATGCCCCCCCCCCTTCACTGAGGACTGAACCCAGGGCGTTGTTCAAGCCAGCGCTCTCTGAGCTAAGCCCTCTTTTATACTTTATTCTCAGATAGTTTTATTGACTTCTCCAGGTCGGCCTTGAACTCACTCTATAGACCAGCAAGCCTCAAACGTGTGATCCTCCTGCTTAACTGGGATTGCAGGCCTGCACCACCAGATCTAGCTTACAGTTTGTCTTTCGAGGGTACTTAATAAAAGCAGGGAGAATCAGGAAGTAGTTCAGTGGTAAAGTTTCTAGACTGGGGGGTGGGGGCAAGGAGCGATGGGAAGGGAGGGGAGGAAAAGGCGCTGCCAAGGTTTCTGATTTCTGGGTAGCTAGCCTGGACCTCACACACTCTTGCAGCTAGCTAGCCACAGGCAAGTCTTCATTGAGCCAGAAATGTCAGTGGCAGTTTGGGGTTGAAACTCATGCCAACTTTATTGGGTCTATGTTCTTTCCATAGCAATACCCAACACTATGGAAGCTTAATCTGGTTCTTAAAAAGAGACGGGCCGGGATAGAGACGCACACCCCACCATCTTCAAAAGGAAAATTGTAGGTCAGCATCTCTGCCACTACTCCATGTGGAGTGGCCTAAGATCCTGGCAAGACCTCGTAACCACAGGCCCGTCCCAGCCTACTTAAACTCCCACCACCTTCCCATAGTTCTCAGCCTCAGTGAGAAAACCCAGCAAGGAAAGGACTCTCTTCCTCTCTGCCCGGCCGTCTGAATTACACTTAAGACTTCACTGACAAACATACATCAGCCGCTGCTCCCACAAGGGCAGCGGAAGCCAAGCAGGGACTCTAGCCTGCTTCACGCATCATTGGCAGAAGCAACCCCGGCAGAAGCAACCCCGTTCCAATTGCTGAGGTCTTAAGAGTGGCAATGACCTAGAAATTGACAGTGGGGGGGGGGGCCCCCCAACGAACCCCACAACAGTACCCAGAAAGCCCTATTTCCAAAGGGGAGGGGGGCACGAGAGAAAGAAGAGGTAGAGGGGAAGGAACTTGGCCCCTTTGAGTCTGCAAATGCGAGCTTGGCTAGAAGCCAGGGAGGAGACAGCACAGCCCCGCCGAGAGTCCAGCCATGTTCCTGACTCAAGCCCTACAGTTAGAGGAAGGCGCCAAGCCTCAAATACGACGAGGTGGGGAGGCCGCTCCTCTTTGGGCAGGATCCTACTGTGGACACAGAACAGACAGCAGCTGCCCACAGTGTGGAAACAGACTGTAAAGCAGTCACGTCTCTTAAGGCTGCAGCATCCAATAAAATGTAATTTAAATCAAGCCTCACATCTGTTCTCAATCCCATTCAGGCTCTGCTTTCCATCAGTCTCCGACAATCTTTACAATTACGCCTGTTAACCCTTAGAGTCCCAGACAGCCTCCAAACTTCTTGGTAGAGAAGTGTCCTCTCCACTTGGCACACTGCCCCCGGAGGGGAGGAAGACTCCGGTGAAGCGGCTTGCGAGACATTCAAACTCCCACCCCCAGACTCTGCCCGCCCGCCCGCCGCACACACCAGCGGGCAGTATGCATTTCAGAGAGCTCGCTGCCCTTCTCTCCATCCCATCCCACCTGCTGCGGGGCAGATCACTTTACAAGGATACGGTGGGCAGGATGAATGAAACTGTGGCCAACAGATCTTCTGTAGGCAGATCAAATTCCCAAACTCAAGGCCAGATCAGACAAGGAGGCAGCAGCCTCACTCAGCTCAGAGACTATTCCTTTCACACGGTCTGCAGTCAACTATTTGCTCGGGTAATATAGGAACAGCAATTTCCTAAACAAGTCAAACTCCTGCCCCTTCCCTCCAAACCACCCACACCCCACCCCACACTTTCAAAGCAGTGGTGTAATGGTGCCCCCTGGTGTCCCTGTCACAAACTGCCACTTAAAGCCACTGGAAATAAAACCCAGAGGTCTCAGTAACCATATAGATAAACTTATCTAAGGAGGCTGGGGATGTGTTCTGCTGAAAACCCAAGCCTGACCTGAGGCATGCCGCAACAATGGCTGTATCTGCGGGAAGACTGGCACAGGATGGGAAGGCATAGTCCTGTTTGCTTGTTTGAGACCGTGTTTCGTTATGTAGCTGAGGCTGTCCCGGAACTCGCTCTGTAGACCAGGCTGGCCTCAAACTCAGAGATCTACCTGCCTCTGCCTCCTGAGCTGGGCTTAAAGGAGTGTGCCACCACCGCCCATCAAGAATGTATTTTCATATTAACCTCTGGACGCTGAAGCTCTCGTGGACTGTAACTGCTTAAAGAGGCAACAAACACAGGCCCAGGACATGGCTCAAAAGGTAAAGGCGCGGGGCTGGAGAGATGGCTCAGAGGCTAAGAGCATTGCCTGCTCTTCCAAAGGTCCTGAGTTCAATTCCCAGCAACCACATGGTGGCTCACAGCCATCTGTAATGGGGTCTGGTGCCCTCTTCTGGCCTGCAGGCATACAGACAGAATATTGTATACATAAAAAAAAAAAAAAAAAAAAAAGGTAAAGGCGCTCAGCGCCATGCTTGGTAGCCTGAGTTTGGTCCCGGGATTCACGCGGTGGAAGGCGAGCATGGACTCCTACAGCTGTCCCCACCACGAACACCGTGATGCCCATGAGCCCGCGCACGACGGGCTTAAAAAAAGAGAACGCATGCAGCCTGACAAATAGACCATGAAAATAAAATAAAATAAATATATTCACAATCTGTAGTTACGTTCTCCTCCCCCATACTGCGTGGGCACGCTGGAGAAACGCCCCCCCCCCGGTCCTTAAGAAGTCCAACGCAGCAGCACCTGTCCCAGAACGTAGTATCGCCAAAGAGTCCTTTGACCAAAATGTCCTTCGGATTTCCACGTCGGCGCGTGTAGTTTTCTGGATCATTCCATTCCACTTTTAAACCTCAAAGTTCTTTACAAAATATATTGTTTGTATTTAGAAGTGACTATATACAAACCCTTCAACACAGGTCTGCCTATACTTGCAGGTATGGGAAAGGTACCGAATATTACTTTCAAAGGGGTCATTGGTTTCATTTTTAAGGTGTCTTACGTAGTCCAGGCCAGCTTCAAACTCACCAGATAGCAAAGAATGGCCTCGAACTCCGGATCCTTGTGCCTCTGTTTTCCATGTGCTGGGATCACAGGCATATGCCATCACACCCAGCTACTCGGTCATTTTCATGGATAAAAACAGTAAGAGCCGAAGATATTAGTGCTAACACTCATGAATCAACACACTAAAATGTACCGGTGCTGAGTAAAAAAGGTCACGACAGTTTCCAAAGGGCCCTAATAATGGAGACTCCCTGGTCTGCCAAGGGCCGCCGGCTGCAGGTGGGGGAAGAGAGGCCCTCAGGGCAGTCCCGCGGCGAGGATATTACCAACAAAAGTTTGGCCTTTCAGAATGTGCTCTAGTTCTTTTTCTTCAATCTTCAGAGACACCTGGGAAGAGGAAGGGATTTTCTGAGGAAGAACATGAGTACTCACACACACAATGCACGCCCTCACACATCGCTACATTCCCTATCATGTTCCGCTTTCCTCGGTCCGGCAAGTCAAACCCTGCTGTTTTCAATGGCCTAAATCACATCACACCCCCTTCCCCCCCACACACCTGAAACGCTAGCCAGCAGAGAAACAAACTGTTCACTAGTCATTTCTAATCCTTCCTTTGGCAAAGGCCACGCTCTCCAGAACAGGACAATTAAAAGCAGGGAGGGACACAACAGGCTGTTACTTGTACCTTGGTCAGGCGGCTTTCCTTATTTTTCTTCAATCCTAAGATGCCTCTGGACTCCAGGAGTCCTGAAAGGGACAAACACTCGGACTGGTCCACAGCTGCCACCTGCTGCTTGCGACAAACGCTACTGTAGGCTTCGTATAACTGGGAGGAAGTGAGGGAGAACAAGTGTCACTTAAAAGCTACATCCCATAACCTCATAGATTAAAAAAAAACAAAGCCCAGAAACAGCCTTAAGTTACCTCTATACTCTATTGTCCCCCTAGTCAACAAAGCCTCGAACAGGCGATAGGCCTTCCGCACCCCCTTCCTATACTTTATGATTGTGCTGGGGACGAAACCTGGGTCCTCTGCAAATGAGAAACAACTGCTCTTGAGTCCTCTTTGATGTAAAATGTAGGAGCAAGGCTCTATGTGAGTTTAGAGGGAGACAGAAATGGTGGTGAGGCCGGGTCTTCCTACATCTCCCCAGCTATCCTGGAACTATGTAGATTAGACTGGTCCGGCGCTCACAGAGACTCACCTGTGTCTGTCTCCCAGAGTTTCGGGATTAAAGGGCGCTCTACCACTGCCTGGCCTTACTGAGTTTTTGAGGTCAGCCTAGAACTGTTTTTGATGACACTATAACTACAGATAAAAACCCATTTTTAACCTTCTGGAAAACACCTGCAGCTGCACCTCAGCTCCGCCTGCTGAGAGCCCAGCTTACCTTCCCCAGAGTGACCTCTTTGAGCTTCAGCCGCCGGGTCAGGAGTAGCAGAGAACAAACCAAGATCTTCTGCTGGAGAGGGAGGGAACCTTGTGCCTGGTCCTGGCTCAGAGTCACCCGGTTCCCATCAACTTCCGAAATGACTTGGGATATGTGAGTAAGGCCGACGCGCTTGGGAACCGGCGCCTCGGAGGGTGACTGACCTGAAACGCAAGCAAGCCAGGCTTTATTCGGTCTCTAAAACTGTGTGTGCCGACCATGAAAGACTGGTGTTAGCAACAGGAAACCAAGGGCGGAAGGAGATTTGGAAAGCCGCCTTCTCTCAGAAGAACCACGATCTATTTTGTCCTTTAGGGCACAGCTTGATGTTGGGAAGACAACTAATCCACCCCCTGAACGAGCACGAGCCCGGCAGAAGCCACCAAACACAGCTAACTGCCGCAGGTTGGCTGGGGACAAAGCTCGGGGCATAGCACACCTGGTTTGGTCCTCAGCACAAACCCCGCAGCCTGGATGACAACCTGGTCACTAAGGAAGGACAAGAGATAGCTGGAAAATGTATCTAATACTTGAGTCAAAGGAATGGGTAAGCATAGACAGTAAAGTCAACCCCACTTCAGCCCCCCGCACCCCCACGGCTTCTCCAAATGAACTCTCTGATCTGCAAGACAGCAACACTTGAAGAAATGTCACTGGATGGCCGAGCACCCTTCCCACAGCTGGAGTCTGAGAACTGCAGGCAATCTGCTCGGGACCTGACAGTGCCACAGGGACGGGATTTGCTCGCTAACACCCTGGGCCTGCAGCCACCCCGCGACAACCCGCGTCTGCTCCCTTACCACAAGCAGGAAGCTGCAAAGGGCTAACAGAGAAAGCAGAGCTCCCAGACCAGGTGTAGACGGTCCACAGCCCCTCCTCAAACAATCCCGACAGGACAGCAATCCATTTGTTGTCCTTGTCCCATGATTTAAGAGCACCTTTCTTTTTCTTTTCTTAAATATTTATTTATTTGTTTATTATGTATACAACATTCTGCCTACGTGCATGCCTGAAGAGGGCACCAGGCCTCATTACAGATGGTTGTGAGCCACCATGTGGTTGCTGGGAATTGAACTCAGGACCTTTGGAAGGGCAAGCAATGCTCTTAACTGCTGAGCCATCTTTCCAGCTCCTAAGAGCACCTTTCTAAGTAGCCTAAATGGGCCTTGAACTTGTAATGATTCTGTGCTTCGGCCTCCGGAGCGCTCCGGAGGCCGGAAGCATAGGTATGCCCCCCCCCATGCCTGGCATCTAGCTAATTTGTTTGCCCATCTTCAGTGCTGGGGAACCTAGTTCTTTCTATGCATTAGAAAGTTCCTTTACAGAGAAACCTTGCTTGAAAAACAAAACAACAAAAAGTTTCTTATATTTAGCTGAAGTCACATTCTCCATAGTTTCCTAGCTAGAGCGTTGAAACTAGACCCACACCTATCAGAAGTCAAGACAGGAATTGAGTTAGTGCCATAATTTACATCAGGAACTTGAAGCTCTCTTAGCCGTCAGCACTAGTGATGCTCCAGGTCCACCGACAAGGAAGGACTAATCTAAAGGACCAAGACAGAGAAACTATCTAAGTCCACATGTTAATTTGGGTTACTTCGGAAACTTCTTAATTTGTTTCTTTTAATAATTTAATAATATTGACCAGTCCCAGGATGGCTAGATTGTTACATAAGAGAAACTCTGTCTTGAAAAACCAAAATTAAGTAAATAAATAAAAATAAAGTAAACTCTGATAAAAATCTGCCAGTGAAGAAAACAGGGTTGAGGAAAAGGGGAATTCAACCTCTGTGACAGCCTTTGGTTTCCTGTAGCCACAGATCTGTCTTCGGTCCTTGTAGACGGCCTTATGACACCCTGAGATGAACTCAGTCTGTGGATTTTGTCATCTTACTTTCTTCCCTTTACCTACCAGGTACCAGGCATTACTTTCTCCGACAGAAACCTAAAGGGCATCCAACGTAAGTACCCAGAAGGAAGGTGACTCAACCTTGTTACCTCATTTTCATTCCGAGAGCCTTGGGAGAAACCTCACTACCTGAACTCATCATTTATGAACACTCCGGGGAACTCATTTCCAGTAACACACATACTGATACTGGCAGGCGAGACTGAAAAAAAACCAGACGAAACTACACTGTGCTCCCGCGTGACTGTGTGTTGGCTGATTTCACTTGTGTTTGTAGGTGGATTTAACTGCGTCTGTTTATCCTTCCCTTTTCTCAGGAAACTGAACTCTCCCATCTACAAAGGGAGACAGGAAGCAGGTAAGCTACTCACCTCCAGACAGCGGTTTGAGGACTGTCTGGCTTTTGACATCCGACTCCACAATTTCAATAGCTCGCCTGTTAAAAAAACAAAACAATTTTCTAGTCTCAGCCAAACCAAACACCACACCAAGTCACCGTGCCCCAAAGCAGGCACATTAACTAAAAACGCGTTTTTTTAAAAAATTAAGGTCCTTTCCAAATTTGGTGCCCAGCACCCATACCAGGCAGCTCTCAACCCCCTGTAACTCCAGTTCTAGGGATCTGACGCCCTCTTCTGGCCTCTGCACCATACACCACACATGGCACACATACATGACGATAAAATGTAAATCAATCTTAGAGGCCAGTCTGTGAATACACAGTGAGTGAGTTCCAGACGAGCCCTTTCCCCAAGGGAGACCCTGCCCGAGACAGACAAATGAAGGCCTCTAAACAAACTGGGTCATGTTGCAGTTTCAGGAAGACTTGACTGCCTTTAAAATGGAAAGGCCGGGGATTTGAGAAACACCACCACTCATCTCCCTCCAACGGATGTCAAGTAGGTCGTCACGCACGAAGTCAGCAACATTTTAGATGAGGAAAAAGTCCTGGGGAGAGCAATCCGCAGTGTGGGGGTAGCCTAAGGGGAACTTAGAGCCTCCCACACAGCAGACCCAGAAGGGGAGTCCCCAGAGAGACACAGGACACACGTAGGTTCATCTTGCTGACCTACATGGCTATCACTCATAGCTGTAGTCTTTACTCAAGTACTTTGCTGACTGGGGGACTTTCACATTCCGGATCGTGCAATCTAGCAACAGGAAGAGCTTCCTCTCCCACTGCTCTCTCTAAAGTGTTTTGCCCACGGGAAGCCATAAGGCAGACCTGGATCTTCTGCACGGCAAGAGGAGGAAGCTGGACCAGCGGGTCAGCACAGCATGGATCATTTTAATGGACCTAGGGCCCCTGCTGGGAGGGAAGAACTTCCATCAGTCAGTACTGAGGCTTTCCCCAGCAGGAGGGGCAGGGGGATGGAAGAGAGAAAGAGGTCTAGGGTAGGACTTGGGGGACCACCAACTGGAGGGAGGAAGGGGTGCCCACAAAAAGGAAAGGAAGAAGAAAGTCTAAAGGCAAAGATGGTTCAGGTCCATAAATAAACCTGCTTGAGCCCAGCGGATGGAAAAGCAAACTGGAGTCTTTTTAATACAAATGTAATTAACCAATCTATAATCACCACAGGGGGCGCCAGCAACATCTCATTTATTTCCCCCTCCGTAGGTAATGGACTGATAATGTTTTAGACATTAACACGGTGGAAACCCAGAGCTCCCCACTGAGAAGCAAGTCCTCTTTTCTGAGCATAAAAAGTAGCAGAATGAAGCCTCTTAAGCAACATTCATTTGAGTTACACGAGACAACTGCCAGCATCTCTTCCTGGTTTTAATAAAAGCAGTCACCAGGGCCATAATTCACCTGCAAACATCCAGTGCTTTCCGGATGTCTCCTGAGACAGCAGACACTTTGCGGGCACAGAACTGAATCGCGGCATTGTCCAGAACCTGGTCTCTTGACACCTGCACATGAGACAAGACACAGAAGACATCTCAGTCAGCCTTAGTAACACAGGCCCGTCCGTAATCCCGGCTACCTGGGAGACTAAGGCAGGAGGATCTACACTCAAGCGAGGCTGTCTCAGATAAATATATAATAAATATAAAATAGATACCGCTCAGCGTAGAGGCCTTGTGAATCCCAGTACCATCAACCAATAAATAAACAATAAAATAAAAAGACAGTTTGAACTCTGAGAGTTTCTCTTAGCAATTTAGGTTCTAAACATAAATATTTCCACAAATTAAATCTAACTCTGGGACCGGAGGCGCATGCTCAGGACTCTGAGCTTAACATTCTCTATACAAGGTCTCTCTGGGTAGCCCTGGCTGGCTTTGAACACAGAGAACTGCCTGCCTCTCCTTTCCAAGTCCTGGGACTAAAAGCGTGCGCCACCATGCCAGGCTCATAGGCCCTACTTTTAAAAATTTATCCCATTTATTTTTGTTTGGAGTGAGGTGAGGCAAAGCATGCGTGCCACACTTGTGGAGGTCAGCGGACACCTTCCAGGACCCAGGTCTCTGTTCTCACCATGTGGGCCTCAGATATGGAACTCAGGTCATTAGAACCAGCAACCAGTGCCTTTACCTGCTGAGTTACCTCCCTGATCCAGGCTCGACTTTTTAAAGGCCATTAAGGAAGCATGAGTTCTTTAATTCCTACTTTTATTTCAACAGCGAAGCAGCCAATAAATGAAACCACGTGTCGATAGTCACATAAAAATGCTCTCACTCATCATGGTCTACGGGAGTCTGCCACACCATTAATAAAGCAATCAAACGGAAATATTTTAAGGCTATTGTTATCTTTCGATGAGAGGTTATCCCTGCAACAGAATTTGGCCCAATGGCTGGCACTCACCTGACTGAGTCTCTCCTGCAAGATTGCAGCTATCTGGTTTCTGGTATAAGGTGGGAAGTTCAGTAGCTGTGGCTTACAGTTTTCTCTAGCTTCAAGCCTCGGCAGAATTCTGTCGGTGAGATCTAGGGTATTAGCAATACCTGAGAAGATAAGTAACAATCACCATCAGCAGGCAAATCGTCCTAATAGAAAATTAAACCCTCTCAAAGATAAAACTCCCAGTCACAACCCAGTATTTCAACTCTTGTGTCTACTTGCTCTTCATCCCAGGTAAGATGACTTACTAGGTAAGATACAGCGGTTAGGCAGGTATAGTGAAGCATGCTTATAGTCTTTTTCTTTCCCCTCAAGACAGGGTTTCTCTGTGTAACAGCCCTGGCTGTCCTGGAACTCCCTCTGTAGACCAGGCTGGCCTCGAACTCAGATCTGCCTGCCTCTGCCTCCCAAGTGCTGAGATTAATATCCTGAGCCAGCACCTCCCGCTGCTTGTTTATAGTCTTAACACGTGGAAGGGTGAGACAGGACGACCATGGGTTTAAGGCCACCCTGAGCTACAGATCTTGTCTCCAGAAAGAAGGGGGTGAAAAGAGGACAGGCAGATAGATTTCTGTTGAATTTCAGACCAGCCAGGGCTTCAGTGAGACCCTGTCTCAAAAACAAATCTGGGCTGGAGATGGCTCAGCAGTTAAGAGCACTGGCTGCTCTTCCAGAGGTCCTGAGTTCCATTCCCAGCAACCACATAATGGCTCACAACCATCCATAACGAAATCTGATGCCCTCTTCTGGCCTGCAGACACACATAAAGGCAAAACACTGTATACGTAATAAATAAATCTTAAACAAAAACAAATGCCAGGCAGTAGTGGCTCCTGCCTTTCATCCCAGCATGTGGGAGGCAGAAGCAGGTGGATCTCTGTGAGTTTGAGGCCAGCCTGGTCTACAGAGTGAGTTCCAGGACAGGCTCTAAAGCTACAGAGAAACCCTGTCTCGAACTCTGTCCCCGCCAAACAAAAACAAAGTCGTCACCACCACCACCACCACCACCACCAAATCTATTGAGTCAGGCATTGTGGCACTTATCCTCCCAAAAGCTGGGACCACAGGAATGCAATGTTATGTCTGGCTTCTTTGTCATTTTTATTTAGACCTCACAAAATCAATCTGCCTTATATTAAAAAATTATTACCATAGTAATCTTATTTCAATAAGACAGAAAGCTGGCTTAAGTATAATGGGTGGGGCTGAAGGAATGGCTCGGCTGTTAAGAGCACTGGACGCTCTTCTAGAGGACCCAGGTTCAACTCCCAGAACCCACATGTCAGCTACATTTGTAACTCCAGTTTAGGGAACCCAATGCCCTCTTCTGGGCCGCCATGGGTATTGGGCATGTAGTAGAACATGCAGGCAAAGCACCCACACACATCAAATAAAAACAAAATAGTAGGTAAATAACTCGCATAGCGACTGGGGAGTGAACAAAGCATTTGCCACACAAGCATGAGGAGCCAGCTTTAGCTCTTCAGAAGCTGTGTCAAAGCCAGGAAGGCAGGGAAGAGATCCCAGCGGCAAGCTGGCTAGTCAGACTAACTGAATCAGCCAGCGTCGGGGTTCAGCAAGAGACTGCCTCAGCAAATAAAAAACCTACAGCATTGGCTGCTCTTCCAGAGGTTCTGAGTTCAAATCCTAGCGACAATACAGTGACTTACAGCCATCTCTAGTGGGATCTGATGCCCTCTTCTGGCATGGAGAAGTAAATGCAGATAAAGCAACATATAGAAAAACAGAACAAAACTTGATAGTGGGAGAGCGAGCGAGCGGGAGAGCGCCGTATCTGATGTCAACCTCTGGCCTCTGTACACACTTGTGCACCCATATGCTACACACACTGAACACAGACACTGAACACACTTTAAACGATTAACCAACTTTCAAAGTCACCACATGACAGTAACAACCCAGCACTAACCAATGAGCACCAATCGGGAATTGCTTAGCCACGGCCATTCAAATAGCGTGTATAGGACATCCTGCCCTTTGCTGTCCAGTTGATCCATCTCGTCCAACACCAACACGCTACACGCAAAGAGACAAAATTAGTACCGGTCACATTTTCAGTCATCCAACGCTTGATCTGAGCTAACCTTAGGTTAAAGGCATAGAGCTGAGACCAGCTTGCAGACCATAGCTCGTCTGGGATGTCATAGGATGTCAGTCCCCACAGCCCCCATCACTAACAACCCCATCACTAACAAGTATCCATTGTTTTCAGAGAACTAGCTTAACAGTTAAAATCTAAATTAAAAAAAAAAAAAAAAAAACCAGAAAGCTAAGGGCTGTGAGTGCGGCTCAATGATAAAGTACTTATCTAACATATGGGCTCTGGCTTTGAGTCCCAGCATCATCAGTAAATAAGTTAGTACAATATTTTCAAAATTAGAGAGCATATTATCTTTACTTCCTTCAAGCGTGTGTACATCTCAGAGCAAAGGTCTTTTCAGGGCGAGTTCTTTTTGTGGGTAGCATCTAGAGGATTTTTACTGAGCAACACGCGGCAGAAAAAATACTTACATCATGGGGCCCTTCTCAGCAGTCAGCTGCTTTTCCAATTTTCTCATCAAGTCCTTCCCAGCTGGTCTGCATATTTTCTCCTGACCAATCTCCCGAGCAATAGCTGGGAACACAGCCTGGGCACTCCTCAGAGACATGCAATTCAGCATGATGGTTTCAAAGTCTTCCACTTCCTTCTAGGTGTTTAAAAAAAAAAAGATGCAAACATGGAGTTATGTTGGCTTCAGACAGATTTACTGAAACCTAAGCTGGTCTCCGAGAGCTAAAGGGATCCAAGAGTGAAGCTCTACTTTCTTCTGAAAAGATTTAAACCCTGAAACAAGAATTCTTACTTCCGGGAAGCATTCAACCACATAACGGTCCATTCTCTCTTAACCCTTAAGAATCAATCAGACCATTCTGGCAAGAGCCTCCGTTGCTCAGACTCTCAGGGTACCTTGAGGTCTTGCAGAATCCGGCTCAAGCAGGCAGTTTTTCCTGTCCCAGGAGCACCAGAGAGGTAGAGACTTCCAGCTTTTTTCCCACAGATGTGTTTCTTCAGGAAGGCCCTGATGACATCCATCTCCTTTTCCCTGGCAGGCAGCCGATCTGGGACAGCTGTGTTTAGGACAAGCTTTGCTTGCTGGTAGCAAGTGCCTGCGCCAGACACAAAAGGGCAGTTAAGACCCAACAGAAGATGCCCGAAAAGACTCCCTGGGTTTCATTCAGAACCACCATCTCTGTTCCCGATGGCACCGACAGCGGCCACGGAAGAACCCACCTTCTTGCTTGAACAGTCTCACGCGTCCAGATTCCTTCTCTGGTGGACATTTCTGCTCAGAATTTGATTCGCTCTCTTGACCTTTTTGAGCTGAGGAAAGTATTTGGTTTTGGTGAACTTGGTCTTGTTCTTTTTGGCTTGAAGACTTAACTGTCAGCTCATCATCAAACACTAATCTGCAGCCCTTCCGGGTATGGGAGCGAGGGGGGCCGTTTTCTTTCTTGCCCAGCTTTGGTGGGGAGCAGGGGGATAAATGAGGAGTGTTGCACAGATTGTCATCACCTGAAACGTTAGAACAGAACACGGTCACTCGTAGCAATGCTCTCAGCCACCCAAAACGCGAACGCGGTCCTTCACAGTGGAGGGCAGTAGATGTGCAGACTTCCCCACACCCAGAAAGAGGAGAATCTTTCTTTCTCTTTCCAGTCCTTCAACACTGCGTTTCTCTGTGTAGCCCCGGCTGACCTGGAACTCACTCTGTAGACCAGGCCTTGAACTCAGGGATCTGCCTCCCAAATTCTGGGATTAAAAGGCAAGAGGTGAATTTCTGCCTTAGAACCACAAAAGAAACTTCTCACTAAAGAGCGAACATGGCCACCAGATGGCACCACTGAATCTTATCGTTAGGTATAAACCAAATGGTAAGTTCTAGTTCCGTGGAATTGTAAGGGTGGCTGTAAAACAGGACCCATCGCCAGCTGGGGGCAGCGAACCCCTTTAATCCCAGCACTCAGGAAAGCTGTTGTCTCAAAAACAAACAAACAAACCAAAGCTTATCAGCCTTGCCGCCACTGACATCTTGAGATGAGTAACTTCTCTGAAAGAAGCTGCTGTGTGCACTGCCGCATTCCAGCAACACTGTGGCTTTCACTCACTGCTCCAAATCCATCCCCTCAACTAACAAACTCAAATCTTCAGGCACGTCGAGATCACATCTGCTCTCCCACCACCACACACAATGAGTATCTACCAATAATAACACTAAGGCTCTTAGACTGGGCATGTACAGCTAAGTGGTCCAGCACTTCCTGGCATAAACAAGGTCTTGCGCTCAATCCCCAATACCCAGTAGCACCATCAACACACACAAAGTATGGTCTGGCGGTGACACACACTGGTCCTCTGTGAGTTCGAGGCCAGCCTGGTCTACAGAGTGAGTTCTGGGACAGTCAGGCTACACAGAGAAACCCTGTCTTGAACAAACTAAAACCAAACAAACAAAAAGCCAAGTATGGTAGTGGGAGAAAGACCTTGAGTTTTAAGGCAATCCTGGGCCACCAAGTGAGTTCCAGGCCAACCTGAGTTAGAGAATTTTTCCTCTAAAAGAGCAAAAATAAACAATGGAAATGTTAAGTACTAGTTTGAAGCAAAAATCAAAAATATTAAGAATGTCATCTATTTGTTTCTCTTATTTTCACGAGTATGTAGGCAAATTTCATAATACCCTGTGCAACGTTAAGGTAATTTTAAAGGACAGAACTAAGGAAGTGAAGATCAAACCTATCAAGTCCCTCAGAAAATGATCTCTACTAGTGAATGGCTTAACTGTGAAGTTCAGTACGCACTTAGCAGCCATTATAAAAATAGATACGGCTATGGTTCTAACTGCCAGGCATCTCATCAAGAGAAGAAAGGCTGGGCAGTAGAGGTATATATATGCCTTTAATCCCAGCACTCGGGAGGCAGAGATAGAAGAATCTCTGTGAGCTCGATGCCAGTCTGGCCTACAGAGTAAGTTTCAGGGCAGGCTCTAAAGTCACAGACAAACCATATCCTGCAAAACCAAAAAATAAAAAGAAAGGCCTGAGGGTTGTTAGTCACCAAGTTGCGCTTGCAGAGTGGAATGCTTACCCAAACGTTTTCTGGGACTGAGAGGCAGAAGCTTTGTGTCCGCACACGGAGTAGCCGGTACAGCCTGCACGTTTTTAAGTTGTACTTTACTGTCCTTGGGACTCGCTTTGCTCGGAGTCTTAACCAGCTTCTTTTTCGGAAAATGGATGGTGGCTTGTGTCTGGGATCGTGTTTGAGGCATGATGACCACACAACTGGACACAAAAGAGAACCAGGAAGCCTGTAATTTAAAAGCAAGAAGGAAAACATAAGGCGCTTATTTATATTGGTGACCAACACTCACTTCACACATTATGTTAACAGCATTTTCAACACGTAGGTCTGCTGCCTATTCAAGCCTATGTAATAACAGGTGACATTTGTCTGCCTTGTATGTGTAACACGCCGCGATTACACATATTATACACTTCAGTCTTACCACTATTATCCCTCTCTTAAAGAGACAGCCATAAAAAACGCGGCTATTACCCCAGGCATCCGGAAACCAGAACCTAAGTTCTTCCACATGAGCGATGCCCGTTTATCTCCAGCGACTTCTGTAATACTTCTAGCTCCTTCACTCCAGACAAGCGAGACATCCTTAGCACTAGTTTAATTAAGCCTAGTAACATTTAGGCTCTCCCAAATGCAGGCAGGGCAGCTCGGTCCTCCTTTGCCCAGGACTAGCCTGCACGCCATAGAGCTCAACCCCACCCTACACCGTTTCCTCCCAGCAGCTCTCAGCTCCTTCCCACCATTCCAGGCTCGAACGCCTTGCAGGCACACAACCCCCTCCCTGACCCAGCCTCAGACCTCAGGCGATCTCCGCTCTCCACCGGCCACGCTCGAACCAGCTCCAACTCACTGGGCCCCGGACCAGCTCTCAGGCCTCACGGAGCAACCAGCCCCTTCACACTCTTCAGGGCTGTGTCGCTTCAGCGCACGTTCCGGTGTGTCGGTCACAACCGCAAGGATCTCCCGCCACGAGATGCACAGCTGCAGCAAAGTCAGCTCGCGCCAAATCCGCACAACCTCAGCGTTCCCGTCTCGCGCCAAAGTCCAGCCACGCTTCTGATTAGTTGTCACTAAGCACCACGCCTTCGCCGGCGACGACCTACAGCCAATCAGACAGCCCCAGGTCTCCGAGCCCAGCTGAGGCCACACCCACTCGCCAGGGAGGGCGTCCACATCTGAGACCTCCGCGGGAAAGGCGCGCTTGCGACTCATTAGGTAAGCACGCCACGCCGCAAGCCTGGCGGGAAGTGTAGTTTTTGATCCCATGCAAGACCCTTCCTACTTCCGCATTTTCTATTGGGGTATTTTTTTTTCCCCTACCTTGGTTTTTTGAGGCAGGTTTTCTCTGTATAACCGCCCAGGCTGGCCTGCCTCTCCTCCTGAGTGCTGGGATTAAAGCTATGCGCCACCACCGCCCGGAGTACCTATTTCCATTATGAGGGATACTACAATTGGTTTGCTATTTGGGGGGCAGTCCTGTATGGCATGAAGCAAATGAATGCATAGGGTCACAGCATTCTCGGTGGCGAAGGACTGATGAACCTGGGCATTTTTGACTGACATCATCTCAGTATTTGTTGACTTGCACTTCAAAAGCGAGAAACAGGACCAACACTAAATATGCAATTCTGTTTTTGTTCAAGGTTAATATATTCCGCGTGCCTTCTTAACATTAACCTATCTAAGCATTATGTTCCTTTAATTTGAATATTTAATTTGAATATTTTTTATGGCCAAACACTAGGGTTTCGGGACTAGGGAAGACATTGAATAGGAGAGGCAAGCTGAGCATCTAATGAAAGTGTAAATCGGAGCTGTCATTAGCAGGCCAGGTTCCAGAGTTAATAACCCACTTCAGCGTCCTTTAAAGGCCAGAGCCCAATTCTAAGTAATGGTGAATTTTATGCTTGCTTATTAGAGGCAGGGTTTCTGTGTAGCCCTGGCTGTCCTGAAACTAGTTCTGTAGATCAGGCTGGCCTTGAACTGGGAGATGTCTGCATCTGCCTCCCAAATGCTGGGATCAAAGCAGTGTGGCTATGGTTGTAAGATAGACTTTTATCTTTCCATATCTAATAAAATGGACATAAAGCTAGGAATAGGAAAGCGATATCACAATTACTAGTTAGCTCAAATAGTGGATTTCAAATGGTTACCCCCTCTTACCAGGAGTCCTTTGTGTGCAGGGACTGAGTTCAGCATTCGACTTTGTCACTTTAGTCTTTACAAACACCCTAGGAAGCTGATGGAAACCTGCCAGAGGCCATGTAACACGAGGAGCTGGTCTCTGCATTCTAATGACAGACGACCAAGCTCTGAGGCATGGTTTCTAAGCAGTGCAAGATGGTGAAGGGGACATTTTCTTAGATACTTTTTGTTCTAGCAGCTAAGAACTCCAAGAGAAAACAAGCTGCCACCAATGGGGACACAGCATGGAGGGAAGCTTTCAGATGATTCGGCCTTTCTCATTTACTAGCACAAAGGAACTTAAGTGACCACCTCTACTTCCTTCAGAGATGATGATGCACGACCTACCTCGTGTACAGGGGAGAAAGCGCGAAAGCTGGAGGCGCTTAACGTGCATACTGCAGCCTAAGAAAGCGCTCACCAGGTTTAAAAAAAAAAAAAAAGCAGCAGCAGCTCAAGAGGAAATGACCACTGCAAACAGAATGTAAGGACTGAACTGTAAAAGGTTATCCGCTGGAGGCCTTTCCTCCAGTAACCTCTCACACACGTCAGTTCCTTTCTGTACCTTTGAACTGTCTCCTGGCTGGAATGTGTTTCTCTCCCTGCATAGGTTCCTCCTGATGACTAGGATCTGCTAGACCACAGGCTTTGAAGGCAAAGACCATGTCTGAGTTATCTTCCTGTGTAGATTTCTGCTATAAAGTACATGATAAACGCTTGCCAGATGAAGGGACGGGCAGGACATTCTGTCAAGCTGACGTCCACTATTTGCATGAGCGATTTTTATAGTTGGATAACATATATAGACCTTTAAATCTCATGGCTATAAATGTAGCAAACCAAATTTAATTACGCGTAAAAACAGTTCAGACTGGGCGTCAGAGGTGTCAAAGGTCGGGATCCTGAGGTTGATATGCTCCTCCTCTTACCATTGACAACATACTGGGGAGCTTTCTTCCTGCAAGCTGCAGTCCATGTCTGCACGCCTGGAGCAGGCAGAGTGGGGCCTCGGTAATCACCAGTGAGCAGGCTAATGTTCTTATCACCGAGCAGGCATCACAGCACACTGGAGAGACCTGTCTGGCCGCTTTCTGAGTGTGTGTAAGGGTACACACACAGACCAGCAATCCTGTCCCAGGAAGAGAACTTACAGGGTAAGGAGGCTGAGGGTCATTTAAGCGGACTATTAAGTTAGGAAGAACAATAAAATCAATAAATAGTTTATTAATCATATTAATAACAAGGATTGGTCAAAAATCGGGAATTCAGGCACTCTGGGGCCCCCACAGGTTTTGCTATCTGGATTCTGTGAGCTTGATCCACACCCCCACCCGTATTTCCAGTCAGTGGGGAGGGAACTCTGCTAGCAGGGAGAGTACAAGTCAAGCTCAGCAGACTCGCTGCTTCCTGTCAGCTGATCAGTAACAAAGAAGCCTGGCTGAGTTTTAACACCTAACATCAAAGTTCAAGAAGACCAGCTAAGATTTCAGCTTAAAAAGCAGTGAAGATGGGACCTTACACAACTTTGAAGCCAGGCCTCCTGGGGGCAAAGGCAGGCGGGTCTCTGTGAGTTCAAGGCCAGCCTGGTCTACAAGTTGAGCTCCAGGACAGTAGGAGCTACACAGAGAAACCTAGTCTTGAAAAAGAACAACAAAAACAAAACAAAAGACACACTCAGTAATGACAATTCCTAGACCTGAAAATGTTTGCTGGGTGGTGGTGGCACTTCTTTAATCCCAGCAATCGGGAGGCAGACAGACTAGTCTCAATCTCTCAGTTCGAGGCCAGCCTGGTCTATAGAGTGAGTTCCAGGACAGTCAGGGCTACACATAGAGAAATCCTGTCTCGAAGAAAATCAACCAACCAAACCAAACCTAAGTAATCAAGCAGTGAAGAGGAGAAATAAACAGCAGCACCCACACACAAATGGATTCTCAAGATCCCAAAGGCCCTGCCCCCCCCCCCCCCCCCCCCCCCCCCCGCCAACCTGCTTGAGAATCAGGCGCAGGTAACAGAATCTGAGGGTCACAAGGAAGGAAACAAAGACAGTGAGCCTGGGGGGGGGGGCGCCTTGAGATCAAGGCAACGGGAGGTAAGCAGCAAATACAAGACAGAATCACTGGTCAGCGGAGCCACAAGTGGTTACTTTTTTAAGACACCCAGGCAGAGAAGTCCTCTGAGAGCTGCAGGTGCTTCTGCCATGCGCATCGGCACACGTCCTTCCTCGGGAACCTGAGATCCATCTGCCACCCTTACCCAGAGGAGGATGTCCTCCCTCCCCTTGTCACCACTATTACTCATGACAAAAATACACAATTTTCTTTTTTGTTTGTTTTTTGTTTTTAAAGATTTAATTAATTAAACTGCACAGCATCCAGAAGAAAGAAATGTACCAAGGAATTTGACCTGAAACCAGATTATACATTTTCTGTCAGGGGACAATGGGTGCAAAGATCAGCGCCATTGTGGAGAAGCACTGAACCAGAATGAAAAACTCCAAAATAAATCACACAATAAATTATATTTTTTAAAGAAACTGATCCACATGCAGATGATGGGCACACCCATACACGCGTGCGCGCGCGCGCACACACACACACACACACACACACACACGCACGCGCACGCACACGCACACGCACTCAGGTCCAATGCTAAATAAAATTTAGCATTGACTCTAACTTCCAGACTGGAAACTGTGGGAAAGGACAAAAGTCAAAAACGTGAAAAAAGAGGGTGTGCTAAGTCCCTCTGCCACCATGGGAGCAAGACATGACAATCACAGAAGGAACCCACAAAGCTGTAAGAATCAAGAGCGGAAAGGAAACAGCAGTTATCAAGGAAGATTTTAATTACTTCACAAGGGGGGGTAGAAAGCACAGAAATCTAACACAAGTAAAGGCACAATGAACGTGGAGTTGAGTGAAACAGAACCCTTCCTTCACCTTCCTTCAGTTAAATGGTTGTTGGGTTGTTTTTGTTTCTGCATGTGATTTTGAAGGTGGTTATCATTTTACTTCATTTTATTTTTAAGAAATGAGTCTTAAAAGCAGAATTATAATGGCCTCCTCTCTTCCCTCTCATTCCCTAAATCTGGGTTAAATCTGGGTGGCTTCAGAGTCGCCTTGACCATGTAACTTAGGGACTGAGTCACAGGGAAAGAAAAATTACACCTGGAATGTGAAGACTCTGGTCTGAGTTTGCAGAAGGACAGACAGCGCAGCAGTGCTATCAAAGGGCCTCTGATGCCCGACACTCCACCCCCAGAGCTTCACGGAACGAAGGACCCTGGAGTCACGTTTCTCCCACACTCCCATAAGCACTCAGCCTACAGATTATTTCAAGTGATCAGGAGAATTACAACATACCCCAACCCTGAGTTGCTCTGCAGCAAATCTATTTACAGTTATTTTTTCCTCCTCACCTCTCCCTGGAGGTAAATCTGGGTTTCAAGCTGGGAAGCCGCTGGGTAAGGGAATTCATTCCCCTAGTGCAATGACAGTGATTAGTTCCCTTGCCTTCGCCAGGAAAGGGGGCAGGGACAAATTCCTGGTGATGATAGCCTCACATCCACCAGCTAGGAGAACCCTAGCTGCTCACACAATTGGCCAAGGCTGAGAAAACAGAAGGGCTCCGCAGCTGCAGCAAACCCTCAGGAGAGAGAAAGCTACACCTGGAATGTCCTAGCACTTTGGTCCAGGTTTGGTGACTTGAGACAGGGAAAGAGGGGCATCTAGCTCATTTGAAAATCAGAGGCCACTGCCCAGCTTCAGATAGGGCAGTAAGAAACAGCTACTGAGTGTTTCCTATTAGGGAAAACCACTACAAAACCCACAGGAGAGCTGTTGGCAAAGCTTCTTGCTGCTTAGCTGGGCAATGTCTCTTCCCTTTGGGAGGGAAGAAAGGAACTAAATTGATCAGGCAACAGCCTCAACGTGAGACCACCCAACCTCCCACTGAAGAGATGACATCCCATGAGCAGGTAAAAACAGTTCAGAAGGGAAATTTTCAGTGCTCTTGCAGCCCGCTACCTTTAACCTGTATTACAAGCTTTGTACAACATACAAAATAGACCAACAATTTTAAGGATCACATTCCCACCTTCAATAGCAAACATACACTGATAATAAATCTGTTATTAACAGCGGGACCAAATGATGTATAAGGCAAAGACATTTAAATTAGGTGCTGTGTCATCAACATTCTCTAGAGAATACCCATTTATTCAGATCTAAACCTAGGCCTTTTTTTGGTAGTTGTCCCATTGGGTAAAGACAATGGAAATGTAATCAATACCCACATGACACCATCCAAACCTGGGGAATATGAACAGTGCAGGTCATGTGGAAGGAGGATCAGCCCAGTGAAAACTGGGGTTTGGCTTTACTTGCTATATCATATATTCTGATGATTTACGTTTCAGTAAGGGGACGTCTCTATACACTTTGATAACATTGTACAAAAGGCATCAACTCCCATTTCAAAAACAAATGGGAAGACTTCACAGTCAAAGTTCAGTAATAGCGTCTACCCTGGAACTCCTGCAGTACCAGCTCTTCTCTCTGAGCTCTGTTCACTTGAGGATGCTGGGGGAACTCCTGGGAGATGACTGCTAATGTATTTGAGAAGAACAATAAGTAGTGAACAAATTAGAAGTCTGGTGAGACCTAATCATTGTTTGTCCCAAGAGTCGAAGTGGTCCAGGAGATGGCAAAGGGTAACACTCAATAAATAAATAAACCAAGTTAAGCCCACCTTCACCAACACTGGAAGATTTGGGTTTCACCTGGCATTAAACACAGATCCTTAGCCTATGTTCCACTAGATTAGAAAGGTTCCTATGAGCCGGGTGCGATAGTGTATGACATTAATCTCAGCACCCAGGAGACAGAGGCAGGTGGATCTCTGTGAGTTCGAGGCCAGCCTGGTCTACAGAACGAGTTCCAGGACAGCCAGGGCTTTCACAGAGAAACCCTGTCTTGAAAAATAATAAAAATAATAAGGAAAAGAAAAGAAAGGTCCCTGTGACAGTTTAACCCTGTGACGTATCTGAAAGTTTTTAACTAGTTTCCCCTATTTGAGTCAAAGGACAACCTGGTTTCCCCATGGTCATGCAAGGTTGGAGCAGCCTTTGTCCATGGCTATCACTATACGAAACCAACTTATCCAGTGTGTGGAGTCCTGGGGCCCCACGCTGCTGTTGGAGAAGAGACACTCACTGTCTAATAGACCAACCTCAGTTGGAACATCCATTTTTCCTGTGCTGTTTACCTACAGTGGAAGACAGAAACAATGTATTGCTGGCTGCCAAGGAAGACCCACTGACTGGAGTGCGGCATACCTCCCTAAGTCTTTGTGCTTCTTGGTTTAGAAGACTCGGAATATGCTCCCCAAAGGCCCCATGTATTTCCTTGCCATTTTCTACTCTGTGGGCTTAGCACCCACAGTCTTGGGAAAGTAGGGTGGCAGAGCTAACAGGAACACCCTGCTGTGGGATGAGTGTGAGATGGGTATGAGGAGGCTGTCAAGACCTTTGCAGCCCCAGAGCCCAACCCTCCTGTGAAGTGCTTCCTCCTCCCCTTAGTCTCCCTGGAGCATTCCCCAAGTGCCGAAGGACTCCAAGGGCTGCTGACCATTTCAGGGTTAATCAGAAAAAACTGAGATCGACTTGAGGTTGAGGTTAAGGTCTTCACCCCATCTTTTCATCTCTTACAGGAAGTTTCTGGGGTTTGTGAATTGGGAATATGAATAATGCACCCAACAAAAAGCGACTCTTCTCTTGAGGGACGGGAAGCACTCCGGGGAAAGGCAGGGGGTCTCAAAGGGTGCAGACGGCCCTGACCCTCAGCTACAGAGGAGCCAACTAGCTCTGGAATGATCCTCAGTTTACTTTGTCCCCTTCTTTTATTGTCTAGTTCACTGATTAGTATTTAGTGTATGTACAACTTACCCCTTGGAACAGGGAGAAGAGGGATGAGAACAAAACCAAAACACTCTAAAAAATGGCGAAGACCCATTTCTTTGTCCTTTCTGTAATCTGACCTTTAAAACAGGTCACTTCTGCAAACTCCGACTGCTTCACGAAAAGTACCCTTTCATCAACAGTCCTGGCCACACCAACCTCCTCAACTATGGAATACAATGCACACACCACACTTCCCCCTTGGCGAATAACAGTAGGCAGGGGTACCATTCTCTACCCTGCCCCGTGTGTGTCCATTCACCATAACAAGGCACCTTTCCCTGGAAGAAAGCAGGAGAAACGGAGGCTTTCTCCTCTTCTGGCTTAGCAGGGCTTGCTGGAAGAGGGTTGGATACAGGGCTTGAGACCCTACTGCCAACAGAAAGAATCCAATCACCAAGTCCAGAGATGAGATACATAGATGGAACTGGGCCAGGAGGATGCTTAGGGTTGGTTGCACTGGAGAAACACTGTAGGAGCTCTCATGCAGGTTTTACAGGTTGGGGGACCATCTGAGAAGAGGAGGTCCATCCTTTTCCTGAGGAGCAGGACCAAGACAGGCTTCACCTGAGAACGGGTGGCAGAGGTGGGACTCCACGGGCAGCTGGAGAAACAAGAATCATAGACACTGAGCTCCCTTACCAGACCCTAAATAACATTTCTGAAGTGAGACAGGCTCTTTGAGTCAATTTTTAACAACAGAGACTATTGCTGAAGAGATGGCTTGGAAGGTGGGCACTTGCTGCCAAGACTGCTGACCCAAGTTAGTTCCCAGGATCCAAGGGACTTGGTGGAAGGAGAAAAACCAACTCCTGCTGACCTCTACACGTGCAGAAGCAAACTCTAATCCCAGAAAACACAAACTCTATGTTGCATGCAAACACAGAAGCTTTCTTCACTCCTCTCTCACCTCGGTTTGTTTTACTGGGGTATACTCTCTGAAGATGCTTATACTCCTCTGGAGCAGGAAAGTCCTCTACTGGGTGGAAGGAGTACTTGGACTCAAAATCATCTGTGAAAAGAGAAGAGTATTACATCATGCCTCCCACAGAAAGGGATGTCTTAGGACCCTTCCTATTTACCAATCTCCTCTGGGTTCTGCTGTATGGAGAGCCTGCTCTACCCACCAAACCAAAGTTCCTAAGACAACAAAAGCATCATCCTGGGTGCCTCTGATGAACAGTGGATACCCAAAGACCCTTTATTTGGGGCTGGGTATGGTGGCAGGAGCCTGTAACCAAGGGCTGTGGAGGCAGAAATAAGAGTATCAATCACTAGGGCTTGCTGGCCAGCCAGGCAGACCAATTGCAGAGCTCCGGATTGAGTGAGAGACCTTATCTAAGACAAATATGGTGGAGAGCAATGAAGGAAGACATCTAATGTTGACCTCTGGCCTCCATAATCACCTGTACACATACATTAAACACATAAAGGTGCACATGTGAACATATACATACAGAGAAAAAAAATAATCCTTTTAAACTGTGTGTGTTTTGCCTACATGTATGTTTGGGCACCATGTGCACACAGCACCCACAGAAGTTAATGGAGGGCCTCAGTTTTCCTGAAACAGGAGTTACAGACTGTTACGGAGGCTCCATGTTGGTGTTGGGAATTGAACGTGGGTCCTCCGAAAATGTACCCAATACTCTTAACTACTGAGCTATCTCTCCAGCCCCTTTATTCGTGTGCTGGATAGTTTTATGTCAACTTAACACAAGGTAGAGTTATCTGAAAGGAGGGATCCTCAATTGAAAAAATGTCTCCATAAAATCTGGCTATAGGGAATTTTCTTATTAGCGATTGATGGGAAATGACTCAGCTCATTGTGGGTGGTACTATCCCTGGACTGTGATCCTGGGTTCTATAAGAAAGCAAGCTAAGCAAGTCATGGGGAGCACCTCTCCATGGCCTTTGCATCAGCTCCTGCCTCCAGGTGTCTGCCCTGTTCCTGTCTTGACTTCCTTCAGTGGTGAGTTGCAATATGAAAGTGTAAACCAAATAAACCCTTTCCTCCCCAACTTGCTTTTTGGTCATGGTATTTCATCACAGCAATAGAAACCTAAACTAAGACAAGTTATTATTATTATTATGATTATGATACAGGGTTTTTCTGTATAGTCCTAGCTATCATAGAACTCACTCTGTAGACCAGGCTGGTCTCAAACTCACAGAGATCTACCTGTCTCTGCCTCCCAAGTGCTGGGATTAAAGGCATGCACCACCATTGCCAAGCTATTATTATTTTTGTTTGTTCTGAGACAGGGTATCACTATGTAGCCTTGGCTAACCTGAGACCATGCTGGTCTCAAACACACAGAGATCTGCTTGACTCTGCCTCCAAAGTGCTAGGATCAAGGTGAATGCCACACAACCAGAACCAGTACCTAGCCTTTTAAAATTCTGAATGTAAAGGAGTCAAAGGCTGACTCTACATCTTTCCACCAAAATTCAGACACTTTGGGAAAGGAGCACAGTGTATGTGCAAGCAGAAAGAAGTATCACCTTGCTCCAGAAACAAGGTAGGCTTATAAGACTGTTGCTATGGGAAACAAACTGAATTAAATTTAAGGAGTGGTAGTCATTAACCTCAAATGTCTCTCTAGCTAGCGAGAGTTTTAATTGGAAAACTTTCTTTCAGCCTTGGTTACCCTATATTGCTCTGCAACACAGTTCAGTCAGCCATGTCTAGCTCCACTCCCACTCTCTATGACCTCTTCATAAGATTCAAACGTCTTACGTCTTTTGGGCATGGCATGATCACATCTCAAGAGATCCTCTTTCTATTCAAAGTTTTTTGTTTGTTTGTTTAGATAGAGTTTTACTATGTATTACAGACAGGTTTTGAATTTAAGATTCTCCTGCACCAGCTAAACCCTGTGTGCTGGGACTAGACACATGCCACCATGCCCCACTACATTCAGAGGCTTCTGCAGTAAGAATGTACGTTCAAAGCAAAACTCTCGTGCAACTGTTAAGAACAGGCTGGGCTGTGTCGGGGGTAGTGATGGAGGAGCAACCCTGAAGAACTTTGAGTGTTAATGGTTTCAAGATAAATCATGGTCTACACTACGCATCTTCAAAAGAGTACAACTTATGGCTCTATTCTAGACCAAGAGGTGATTTCTCTTAAGTAGAGATCTCAACATTTATAAGCTTGGGAAACATGATCCAATATGTGCCTGTTCTAGTCAATTTCCTGCTTCTCTACATAATAACAGTGGGGTACAAATAAATAAAATGACGTCCTCAAAAACATACAGCTGGTTTGTCACTGGCCTCTGCATGTTTTGTTTTTGTAGTGCTGGGGCTCAAACTAAGGGCCTCTGCCAGCTAAGCTTGTTTGGCTTTTCGTGCTGTTTCTATACTGTGGGATTAAGCCCAGGACCTTGTACACGTTAGGCTAATGCTGTACCACTGAGTTTCATCCTAAGCCTCTTGAGTTTTTAAGTAACCAGGAAGGAACTCCCCTCCTTGAACACATAATTCTAGGATGTATGTGAATAAAGAGGGCAGTCTCTGATGGGAAGCTTAATCGGTGATTCTTTTTTTTTTAGATTTATTTATTTATTATTCATATATTCTGTTAACATGTACACACCAGAAGAGGGCACCAGATCTCATTATCACTGGTTGTGAACCACCATGTGGTTGCTGGGAATTGAACTCAGGACCTTTGGAAGAGCAGCAAGTGCTCTTAACCTCTGAGCCATCTCTCCAGCCCCCATTAATTGGTGATTCTTGTGGGGACCTGAGAGTAGCTTTACAATCAGTATGAACCCTGACGACTTGATTTCAATCTGTTCATGTAAGGAAAGGAATGTCAATGGTTCAGAAGCACAAGTCAGAGAAAAAGTCAGGAGGGGACCTGCTGCGAACAAGACTGCTGCTCTGGCCTATTCTCCATCTACAGGAGCCATCTGGCAGCTAAGGCACCAGTGAGTCGGTGAAGTCACCACCAGAACTATGAGACAAAGTCACTATTAGCTGGGCGGTGGTGGTGAATGCCACCCAGCATTTAGGAGGATCTCTGTGAATTTGAGGCCTGCCTGGTCTACAGAGTGAATTCCAGAACAGCCAGGCCTACACAGTGAAACCCTGTCTTGAAACGACAAACAAACAAATCACTGACAACTTACCCAAGAAGGAACGGACAGTGGTGATGGAGTCTCTATGGCCATTCCTCAGGGGTGGTGGTGGAGGAGGGGGTGGCCCAGCTGGCGTCCTTGAGGGTGGAGGTGGGGGCTTTCCTCTGCTTGGAGGCTCTGACCCATGCATTCGGTAAGGTGGTGGGGGAGGAGGAGCATCCCTGGCACCATTTCGAACCATGGGTAGAGGGGGTGGAGGAGCTGCAATTAAAATCCAAAGCAGTTGGCTTGTGTTGGAACTGGCAAAGGAAAGAAGGGCTTGAGAGACACAAGCTAAGAAAGCAGCCAGGGAGGGGGCAGAGTGGGGGGAGCCGCTAGTGAGGGAGCAAATGTGAGAAATGCACAATGATACAGGTGTATAGAAATGCTGTAACGAAATTCATTGTTTTATACACCAACTATAAAGTAAAAATCAGAGAACGCCAGGTAGTGGTAGCACATGCCTTTACAGCACTCAGGAGGCAGAGGCAGGTGCAGCTCTGAGTTTGAGGCCAGTCTGGTCTACAGAGTTCCCAGGAGAGCCAGGACTAGACAGAGAAACACTGTCTCGATAAACAAAATAAAGCAAACAAATCATAGAAAATGAAAGAGAGAATCGAACTCTACAAGGAGCCTTGGGGTGGCTGTTGCTGTTCCTCCACTCTGTTCCCTCCCTCTGCCATTGTTTAGTTTGATCTGTTGTGTGTTTTGTTTTTTGTAACAAAACAAGGCTTCTGTGTGCAGCCTCAGCTGTCCTAGAACTTACTCTGTGGACAAGGCTGGTCTGGAATTTGCTGCTTTCTGCTCAGCCTCCACAGAAACAAACATGTAGTATCATATAATATTGTTATAATGTGATTTAATAAAAATAAATCCATGAATCACTTAGACGCCCTTTACATAAAACAAGTTCAACAGCACACTACATTTTTTACATACACTTCTAGCTTACAGACAAAAAACAAACTCAAGAGAATCAGAGAAATTTGCTCCATGTTATACAACAAATACAGCCACTCCTCAAGACTGTGGGCTACTCAGAACTTCTGCTCTGTTAACTGAGCGGACAGCAGGCTGAGGCCTCCCCTTGACCCATGCTCATGGCTACTGGACACAATACAACTCATAGTATATGAAAAGCAAGAAATCTGCAGACCAGAAACTACTTACCTCAGTTTTATTTTCTCTGCTTTTATTACAGAATGGGATTAGAAAGACAGAGGATTGTTCACATTAAGAGTCTTATAAGGGGGCTGGAGAGATGGCTCAGTGGTAAAGAGCACTGGCTGTTCTTCCAGAGGACCTGGGTCCAATTCCCAGCACCCACATGGCAGTTCACAACTGTCTATACCTCCAGTTCTAGGGGATCTGATGCCCTCACACAGACATTCATGCAGGCAAAACAGCAATGTACATGAAATAAAGATTAAAAAAAATATTTGGCTTTTAAAAAAAAGTCTTTTAAAATCTACAAGTTAAAACCTTTTTATTTTTTAGATTTATTTATGTGCCTCCGTGTTTGCCTGCGTGTGTGTGTATGAACCATACGCATGCCTCATGCCAGCAGAGGTCAGCAAAAGAGTATTCCAGATACCCCTGGAACTGGGTGCAGGGAACTGACCTGGGTTCTCTGGCAGAGCAGCCATTGTCTCTCCAGCTGTCCCCCACCTGATGTGTGCATTTTTTCCCTTTAAACCTGAACTTTACAGAATCCTGGGCTATCTTATGGCTGGCTATAGGCAAGGAAATACCATGTCATCAATATTATCAGGTTGCTGTCTGGGGTGCCCTCTAAAAGACTGTTACTGAAGTCGGCCATGGTGGTGCATCTCTTTAATCCCATCACTTGAGAGGCAGAGGCAGGCGGATCTCTGTGAGTTTGGGGCCAGCTTGGTTAACAAAATGAGTTTCAGGACAGCCAGGGCTGTTACACCTACAAATCTTGCCCCGAAAAACCAAAAAAGGTGCTACTGGGAGCACAAATTTACAGGCAACACAATTTGTATTTATTTTTATTTATGCATGTGTGTGCCTGCATGTCTGTATGTGTGCCATGTGTGCACAAGTGCCCATGGAGGCCAGAGGAGGACATCAGATCCCCTGGAGCTGGAGTTACAGGAGGTTGTGAGCAGATGTGATATGGGCTGGGAGCCAAGTCCAGGTCCGCAGGAAAAGCAGCAGTGCTTTCGCAACCGTTCTATTTGTATATGGACACACTCAACCAGGCCTTCACCAAGGTTCCTATATATTGCTTTCTTAAATGTTCTTTTCTGGTTTTGGTCACACACAGTCTCCCTACACTGCCCAGGCTGACCTCAAACTCCTGTGGCTCAAGCCAGCCTCTGCTCCAGCCTCCAACACAGCTGGCATCCATTCCTAATTCGTGAACCTACCCCAATTTGCTTCCTCTTTCACCTTTCACCTACTACTTCTCTACCAATGCTCCACGAAGGGTCCCGATGTTCAGTCCACAGCCAGTTCTCAGTGTCCAGCTGGCCTTTCTGCAGCACTGCACACGGAGGACCACGTCCTTTATCCTGCTCCTTTTCCATCACTCTACCAAGTTCACTTTTCCTGTTTTGTTTTTTGTGCTTAATTTTTATTATTTACTATGCATGGGTGTTTTGCTTACATGCAAATCTGTGCACCATGTGTGTCTGATGCCCTCAGAGACCATAAGAGAGCATGAGATCTCTTGAAATTGACACTACAGACAGTTGTGAGCCAATGTGTGGGTGCTAGGAAACCAACCCAGGTGCTCTGGAAGAGCAGTTAGTGCTCTTAACCATTGAGCCACATCTCTCCTGCCACCAGGCATGTGTTTTTTGTTGTTGTTTTTTGTTTTACATAACAGGGTTTCTCTGTGTAACACAGTCCTAGTTGTTGTGGACTCGCTTTGTAGACTAGGCTGGCTTTGAACTCAGAGATCCACCTGCCTCCCAAGTTCAGGGATTAAAGGTGTGCCACACTACGCCCAGCTAGCATGTGGTTTTGTTGTTGTTTTGTTTTTTAATTTTATATATACATTTATTTAGAGCCAAGTGTGCTAGTGTACATCTTTGATCCCAGCATTCTGCAGGCAGAAGCAGATGGATCTCTATGAGTTCACGGCTAGTGTGTTCTACATACGAAGTTCCAGACCAGTCAAAGGTACACATGGAGACCTTGTCTCGAAAAGAAAATAATTCACTTGGAATGGGACAAGGTCAGCTCCAAATCTTCCCAGAGTCCTACACATTATCCCAGAAGACCTAGCTTTCCCACTTTCCCTCTTGCCAGCTCCCAACTCATTCTAGTCCTTTCGCAATGGCCTCCCTGCCGTCCAGAGTGATGACTGTTCCTATTTCAGATCCACTTCACACTGACACCATACAGCATAAGCCTCTTCTCACTCTAACTCTCCTCTAATTCAAATACCATCATCTTTCCCTGGTTTGTATTTCTCTAAAACATACTATATACCATATTTATATATATATATATATATATATATTCACTAGGTTGTGCACAACAAGTTTTTTAATCTCTTCCCGAACAATTATCAACACATAAAGGGCACCCAATAAACCAGGTGAATACATGAACTCTTACTCTAATCACTGAAGAGACATTCTTAGAAAAAGCAAAGAGAAAAGAGAAAAGGCTTCCGAACACTTACCTGCTCCCCTACTAGGAGGGTCTCGGGCTGGGGGAGGTGGCCTGTTACTCAATAAGAAGGGGGAGGCAGAAGTGGGTGGAGGAGGTGCAAGGCCTCTGACTGGCCCTGGTGTCTTCCTATGCAAAGAATTGTGTCTTTGTGGCAGCTCAGGGGCTGACTCATTAGTGGGACTTGAGGGTCCATTGGGAACCCCAGGAGGCTGGCGGTAAGGTGGGGGGGGGAGGAGCCAGAGACTGGCCGCTTGGTCCAGTTCTGATATTCACAGGGGAAGGAGGTGGTTTTACAGGGGGTGGAGCAGGATGTCCTTCTCGACTCGGGTGCAGCCTTTGTCCAGGTGTTGGAGGCAAGGGTTTCTCCCTGTTGTAGGCCTGAGCTTTGCTGTTGTGCACAGGCAGAGGAGTAGGGGGCGCATTGGCACGGCGCCCTGGAGGTGGTGGGGGAGGAGCAGATGAGCTGTGTTTCATGCCTGTACTGCTAGTGGTATTGGGACGGGAGAGGTCCGGTAAAGAGGGTCTCTGCGTCCGAGGCAGTTCTGGGAGGGAGGCTCGGCTGCTGTCAGTATCATCTTGAGGACGCCCACTGGCTGTAGACACTGGAGGCCTCGGAGCAGCAGCTCGAGAACTGGGGACTTGTAGGGCTGGCTTAGCAGCTACAGTATCTACAAATAACAGAACACTGTGTTAACAGTTACATGCGCATCGGTCAGGTCTCTGGTTGACCCAGCCTCCTCAGTGCACCTTGCACAACAGCTGAGAAAGTACCAGCAAAGTTCTTGGGTCTGTTTGCTTTCCTGTGGACTGGGCTCAAGCTCAGAACCTCAAGCATGCAAAATATTTGCCTTACTGCTGAACCACATCGCTAGCCCTAGCTCTGAGTTTTAATCAGGTTTCAGATTCAGAGTCTCTTGACACAAAATGAACACATTTGAATTTAATTACATTCATTTATTTTACCCCCCCCTTTTTTTTTAGGGGGCATATCTATGTACCCCTGACTGTCCTGGAACTTGCTCTGTAGACCAGGTTGGCCTCAAATACACAGAGATTTGCCTGTCTCTGCCTCCTGAGTGTGCACCACCATGCTGGTTTGTTGTTCTGTTTCTGGCTTATTTCACTCAACACAATGTCCTCTAGGTCTGTCCCTGTTGTCACAAATAACATTAATTTCTTCTGCAGGGCCGAATAGTAATCTATTCTCTGTGTGTATACACCTTTGTGTGTGTGTATCAATATTCTGAATGCAGTTATTTATGTATTTAGAGATCAGGTCTCATGTAACCTAGATTGGCCTCAGACTCAGAAAGTAGTCAAGGATGAACTTCAATATCTGAGATTTTCCTGCCTCTACCTCCCAAGTTCTTGGATTACATGTATACCACCTAGCTTGGTTTATGCAGTGCTAGGAACTAAACTCAGGTCTTCATACACATTAGCCAAGACTTCAACGCATTGAGCTACAACCCAGCACTTAGAATCTTTTTTGCTTCTTTAAGGCAGGCTCTCAACTCTTGCGGTTCAGTCTGAACTCAAACTTGTGATTTTCCTGCCTCAACCCTGCAGGTGGAACTGCAGTCACATGCTACAACAGCAGTTCACATTTTCTTTACCTAAGTCAAACACATTTTTATTTAACTCTCAGCTCTGCTTTACTGGGCAACAACTATGCTTGTCTCTTCTTCCTCCCACCTTCAACCCCAGTTTTAAACCTAAGATAGCACACTTGGAGCAAGTCAAAAAAACAAACACTGTTGGGAGATAGGCCAAGAGCTAACTTCTCAGATACCTGAAGCATCCTTGGCTCCCACAGGGCGCAGCTTGGGCACTCCTCCTTGAAAGAGACCTCCCTTGGGTTGCAAAGCAGCAGCTCCAGGGCCATAGCCACCACCACTCCCTTTGGGCTCTGGAAGGCAGAGATGAGGTTTCATTTCACATGCTCTGAGCTGCTGACCAAGTCAAGCCTGAGAAGAAACGATTCCTCTATCTAGGCTCTAATTTACAAACGTACCAATCTTGCCTTTGCCTCTCTATCAAGAAGCGGCAGCAATAGTAGCAGCACTATCACTAAAACACACAAACCCAAGGGCACCTAGGCCTTGCAGCTGCACACCTTCATGCAAGGATTATTACAAAAAACAAGCAAACTAAAAGGACAAAAGAAAGGAGGAGCCATTTTTATTTAGGGGGAAGGAGAACAAGTCGATTAAAATAGACAGGCTTGACAGTTCTCTGGGCCTTCTTCCCCACATTGGGGGCGGGGGAGACGAGGAAGTGCGAACAAACGTTCCTGAGGCCTGCAAGAATGGACTTGTATAGTAATTGTAAAACCATCCTTGCTTTCAGCCAGGAAGCCTCTAGGAATGTGGTGGTCTCCTGAGAACAGCCACAGATGGGTCCTAACAAACACTACCATCAGCAGGGGAGGACTTTAACCCTGAGAAGAGCTGACAAGAGCTGTCATAATGTTCAACTCCACAGCTGGAAGGAAAGTCAAGATATCCAGGACACCATTTTCCCACTGGAGAGAATACAACAAATGTGATGTCCAGAAGTCTTCTAATCCTGGGACCCTCACTCTACCCTAGGGCAAAAGCTTCGACTCACTCTCAATGACAGGAGCACTCCGATCATTAATGTTGGTCACCTTCTTCAGTTTGGTCCCTTTGCAAATGTCTTGTAAGAGGGCTCCTCGATTCCGCTGCTCATCTCTACTGAGTTTGGGCTGCTCTGTGTTTGCCTGGAGGAAGAAGGAAATGTGTAACTTTACCCTAAAAGCTCCTTTTATCATAAGCTTAGCATAAATGACTTAAGCCAAGGGATCCCGTAAGATGCCACAACACATTCAGATATATGCACCAAGTAGCAATATCACTTTGTGCCATCATTCTTCTGTGAAGGACACAGACCACCCTCCAATCTTGGACATATTAATGTAGCACCATCGCCAGCACAGCTTTTTCTGGGCAGTCACTATGCCTCAGGCATTGTGCTAAGTATTAGCACTTATATTACCTCATTTAAAACCTGAAATACTCCTACAGAAAGATAGGATTATCAATATCCAGATTTGAAAAGTGTGGATCAGAAGCTGAATAGTTTCTGATGGTCATGCAATTAATAATTGGTCAAACAAGAATTCACACCCCAATGCTGACTCTGCAGAATCTTATCCCAGCAAAACCTGCTACCTTCTTGCTACTTTGTCTTCTACCTGATGTTATACAGTAGACCTTAATAGTCCTACTCTAAAACTGAGGAAATAACAGTTCTAGAAAGTTTAGGACACATGATTAGCAGACATCAGAACCAATATTTTAAACTTCAAAATATTATCCGTCATTACTGTGTGTGCCCATGCTCAAAGTGCAGAGGTCAGAGGACAACTTTTCTGAGCTGGATCTCTCCTTCCACTCTGGGGTCTAGAGACTTGAGTTCAGGTGGTGAGGTTTGCACAGCGAGAGTCTGTGTAGCCCTGTGTGTCCTAAAACTCACTCTGTAGACCAAGCTGGCCTCTAACTCAGAGATCTGCTTCTGCCTCTGCCTCTCAAATGCTGAGATTATATTTGGAGCTGGAAAAATGGCTCAGTGGTTAATAGCAGCCACTGCTCTTACAGAGGGATCCCCAGCACCCACATGCAGCTTACAACTGTCTATAATTCCAGTTCCGGGAGAGTCAATGTCTCGGGCCTTTACAGGCAGTTGCACTCGTGCACAGACCCACACATAAACGCATAATTAAAAATAAAAACCTTTCTTAAAAGATTTATTTTTATGTATATGAGTGTTTTGCCTATATTGTATGTATGTATGTATGTATGTATTTACATATGCATGTGCATTACTTGTGTATCTGGTACTCAAGGAGGTAAAAAAGAGTATCAGATCCCCTGGAACTAGGGTTATAAGTAGTTACGAGTCACCACATGGGTGCTGGAAACTGAACCTAGGTCCTCTGCAAGAGCAGTAAAGTGTTGCTCTTAACTTTTGAGACCCAAACTTGAATTTTTTTTTTTTTGGATGGGGTCTCACTGTGTAGCCAGGCTGGCCTGGAAATTAAGAGTTCTGCCTGTCTCTGCCTCCCAAGTGGTATGCCTAATTTTCTTCCTTTCTTGGTAGAGAATAAGACACGATAGACTTGGCTTTAAAATGGACTGGAAGGGGTTAGAGATGGCTCAACAGTTAAGAGCACTGACTGCACTTCCAAAAGACCTGGGTTCAATTCCCAGCACCCACAAGTCAGCTCACAACTATCTGTAAGTCCAGTTTTAAGAGACCCGACACCCATGGCAAAACATCAATGAACATAAAATAAAATTAATTAAAATGGCCTGGAGCTGGAAAAAGAGCATTTGCTGCTATTCCAGAAGACCTGGGTTCAATTCTTAGCTTATACATGGCAGTTCATCATTGTCTGTAATTCCACTTTCAGGGGATCTGATGGCCTCTTCTGGCCTTTGAGGACACCAGTCACTCACATGGTATACAGATACATGCAGGCAAAATACCATACATATAAAATAAAACAATAAAAATTTTTAATGCATTTTCTCTAATTTGTCAAATGCTAATGGACTAGACATTGTTAATGTAATTCTTGACTATATATGCTGTATATTGTTATTGTACTTACTGTACATAGTTTTTCTATGTTAACTATAACCGTCTCTTTTTATTTTAGACAAAAAAAGGGGGAAATGTTGTGATATTTCATTTGTGTTCTGACAAATAAAGCTTGCCTGAAGATCAGAGGGTGGAGCTAGCCACCAGTTAACCACACAGGTCTGGAGGTCTGTACAAACAGGCGACAGGAAGTGATATGGCTGGGCAGACAGAGGAAGTGATAAGGTGGGGGCACAGACAGTAGCTTGGTCCTTTTCGGTTTGAGGAATCGAAGAGGTAAGAGGTGACTGTGGCTGACCCTTTACTTCTTTCAGCTGTTACCCCAATATCTGACTCCGTGTTTTTATTATTAAGATTAATTAGGATCGCGCCCTACATTGGGCACAAGATAAAGCATGACCCTAATTAGTCTTTTTTTCTTTTTTCTTTTTTTTTTTAACGCTAATGAGAAAGGAGACCCTAATTAGTCTTAACAGCCTGGGAGTAGGAGAGGAGATGAAATGGTAGCAGGAAACTACCACTCAAATCCTCAACCCCTCTCAAGGATGTTAGAGAAATGAGACTAACCTACTTGGTAAGACAGGTAGCTTAGGAAGAAACACTAGCTCCAACTCCATGCGTCCAAATCTCCATTTGGAATGAAGCAGGACAGGGAACAAAACATGTCAGTGTGGTTCTCAGAGGACCTCTCAGAAGTCCAAACTAGTTGAGGCAAAGGCTTGTGTGTTCTCTATCTCCTTCCACTGCCTGCAATTAAATGTGTCTCCTAAGTAGCTTCAAGAATTCAGGATGCAGCTGGGCAGTTGCTCAGGCCTACACTCCGGAAGCGTGCAGAAGGCAGAGAAAAAAGGATCACACTGCAAAATAGAGGCCAGTCTGAGCTACATAGCAAGTTACTGGCCAGCCACATAACAAGATCCTGTCTCAAAATGCTAGGGAAAAGTCTTTCAAGGTCAAATATATATTAAAGTTATAGATGGTATTAAAAATGATTAAAATATTAGTGGACATGGTTATCTCTTACCTGTAACCCCAGCACTTGGGGGAATGAGACAAGAAGACCTAAAGTTTAAGGCCAGCAAGATCAGCCTGGACTACATAACAAGATCCTGTTACAAACAAAAACCAAAACAAACCACAAGAGGGGTGGGTGCTGGAGAGGTGGTTCCATCCTTGAGAGCATTTATTGCTCTTTTTTTAAAAAAAAAAATTCATTTTTTTTATGTATACAGTTTTCTGTCTGTGTGTATGTCTGCAGGCCAGAAGAGAGCACCAGATCTCATTACAGATGGTTGTGAGCCACCATGTGGTTGCCAGGAATTGAACTCAGGACCTTTGGAAGAGTAGGCAGAGCTCTTAACCACTGAGCCATCTCTCCAGCCCGCATTTATTGCTCTTTCAGAGGATGCAGGTTCAGTCCCCAGCACCCACTTCTGGCCATACAGCTGCTTGGAACTCTAGTTCCAGAGGATCCCAAAGCCCTCTCCTGCCTCCTGTGGCATGAGGCATGCATGTGGTGCACATACATACATGCAAGCAATACATGTAAAGTAAATATAAATTTAAAAAAAAAAACAGAGCTACAGAGCAAGCTCAGAGTGAAAGAGTGGTTAGGCAAGAAAATTTACAAGTGTTAAACAAGGAGGACTGAAAAGAAAAAGAACAAAACAGCATGAGAAGTCTACCAATTTACTTAAAGGTTTGAAGACAACCTAGTGGAGAGATTACGTACCTGATTAAAAGTGGGAGGTGGGGGAGGACCAGGTGGGGGCGGGGGAGGAGGAGGAATTGGCATCCTTGCCCTGCTCCCAGTTGGCACTGTTCTCTCTCCGTCTTTATTTGTAGCTTTAGGTCATTCATATACCTGTAAACAAAATCAAAATTCAAAGGAACAGCTTTATAATGAGAGGCTTTGTATGCCCAGGAGGTCTAGAGGATTGGACAGGGACAGAGACCCTGAGCACTCCATCCCTACATAAATACTCTCTGTGAAACATCAGCTTACAGCTTATTCTTGGTGGAAGTAGGAATCAAACCCAGGGCCTCAAAGGTGCTAAGCATGGGCTTCATCACTGATTTCTACTCCCAGACGAATTAAAAACAAACAACAACGAAAAACACTTTATATCTTAGAAGTTCTAGGTTCACAGCAAAACTAAGCAAGAAGTACCACAAGTTTCCATGCATGCATCTCACTGTACTGAAGTGTGATTGCTGGATCAGGCATGTACCTCACCCCACAGTGTGATTGCTGGATCAGGCATGTACCTCACCCCACAGTGTGATTGCTGGATCAGACACTAAGAATATGTTTGACTCTTTAAGAAGCTGCCAAACTTCTTCAAAAGTTGCTCTATCCACTTAGAATTTGCACCAGCAACAAAGAACATCTGTTGCTCCACATCTCTGCCACACTTGGTGCTGTCAGTTAGGAGTAAGGACACTCGATGTCTGTTTAGGTTCTTTTGACTTTGGGGGCAATTGTGCTCCCCAGGGCTAAGGTATGATAAGTCCACATTCTACCAATGAGCCATTCATAACCCTAGCCCTGCTTTTTTTTTTTTCAATTAGACCTTTCATTTTACTGTTGTGTTCAAAAACTGTCTCTAGTGAAATATTTTCTTCCAGTTTGTGGCCTGCCTTCTCAATCAAAATCTCTCTCTCTCTCTCTCTCTCTCTCTCTCTCTCTCTCTCTCTCTCT